TTTGTTATCTCGAGCTGCCCCTTAATTCCTGCTGGGTCAGCTGCGGGAAAAACTGGAATAATTATCTCTTCAGCGGGGAAAAACTGGACTAATTATCTCGCGGCGCGTATTGACAAACACTTTCTGCGAAATCATGCCGCTGGCCAAGATTAACTATTACTATGTCAATCGTCGCGGACGATTTGTCGCGTGATCGGCATCTGACGCGTGCAACGTTGAAGCCAGCGGTCGTGGAATGTAAAAATTCTGGGTAAACCACTTCGAGTCTTCGATGGGCTTCCCCAGTTCACAAAGAACGACAGAATATGCATTATACTGGCATGAACTACGAAGGCCATGCGCCATGAAAGAGAACACGCTGCTCTGTATCGTATCCCTATTGTTCCTCGGTGTTTATAATGCATCGTATTCATAGGATAAAGCATGATTTAAAAAAAAAAAAAAGAGAAACAGAATGGAAAAAACATTGTGCAAATTGCATAGGTAGAGCGTTAGGTTCGAAGAAACACGTGCACGTATTACATCATGATGGATTTCACTGTTATTCTTGATTATAATTTTGAAATGGGCAGAGGAGAATGTTATTTGATAACGTGACAGGCTTATCTAAATCCATACTTACCTGTACACGTGTGCAAATTTGATTTCAAAGCAATGATTTAAACCTCTCTTGGAAGTGATGACAGATATTTCTGTTTATCATCACTTTCACGCTAATATTCTTCAAAGTGAAATCGCTCTTTTATCAAATTAATTGCTGTTTTTTTTATGCAAGTCACACGTGATAGTATTCAATTACGTTGTTACGTTTACTCGTTTCAAGTAAAGACAAACAGAATTGTAATGTTTTGAGGAAGACTTCATTAATAATATTGGACGATCGATGAAACTTGTAATCAAATTTGTAATCTTTCATAGAAATTTTGAGTTTACAATTGATTTATTATAAAATGCGCTACGTACTCGTGATTTCTTCGACACTGATAATTGAATCGGATCGTTAATGCAATGAGATATCGCGTATTTCGAGCGTTGCAACATCTCGATGTGTCTTCAAACGAAAGAACACAAAACGAAAAGGGGAAAGAAGAAAAAAAGGGAAGGAAACGAATCAGCGATCAAATCACTGAAATTCTAATCTATATTTTTCAAACGCGTGCATTGCGAGGGAAATTCCGTTGAATACGCGTGGAGTGCACTTGCACTTTTGACCTCGGATGACCCCCTCGGGGGGGGGGAGGAGGGAAATTCCCTCGTGGCTGACACACGGAGTCAATGACAGAAACGCAGCGAAAGAACCGAGTGAATCCCCGAAAGAGGAAAAACAGGGGAAAAGCTTCGTGTGAAAATCGGTATATAAGACCGAGCTACTGCCGAATGTGGCATAGAATTCGATTAGCTCTACAGACAAGAGCATTGCAGATCTTGCAGATCTAAGAGTTCCTAAGTGAGTCAAGAAAAAATTCTCAAGATGAAATTCATCGTGCTGGCTGTTCTCTGCGTGGTTGCATACGCTGCTGCCCAAGCTGAACCTGACGCTGTTGAGGAATACTATGTAAGTATTTTAATTGATATCTTGAAGACAGCATTAGATACAATGGAACAATGTTAAGATAATAGCTTCATTTACATATGACAAACAGCAGTTCTGAAGTTTCATTGCAATGATTTGAAGATTGATTATTGTTTGGTTATAGCGAGCTATAAATGAAAACTTGCTTATGAAAATTTGTAAGAGAAGAATTCCGAAGGAATTACGTCTGAAGAGAAAAGAAGCTTGATCGATGAGCTTTATTCGATAATCCCGTAATAATTTGGACAGAAACTAATTTAACTCGTATCATCATAGATGTAGTGAAATTATTAGTTACAAGTGACTAATGCTCTCTTAAGCGTAACAATTTATTGATAAACCGAGGAAAGTTCAACGTGTAAACTTCACAGACATGGAAAATTTTTGCAAAATTATAAGGAAGAACTTAATCTTCATTTTCTAGCTGATAACTCTGAAAATTCGTAACTTGTCAATTCGTTTACTCAAGAAATTACTATCCCGGACTAGCCAGCTATTATTAAATGTAATATAAATTTGATATAATTGTCACATCAGATATATAAATATCAACATTCCAAGTTGCTCTTACAACCTTTCGTTACTTCCAATCTACCACCTTATTTCAAATTCTTTCTCTCGTTCGAACAAAATCGAACATAAAATAACGTAATAAAAAGTAAAAATATTATCCAGGTGAGATAACTTGTGAATGATGCTGAAATCTCCCACGTCAGTATGCTTCGCAATGTAATCTCAGTCTGCCTATAGCAAAGTGTTATATTAAGTGTTATATTATATTAATTTTACTATTTAACCGATATTTTTTCTTTCCAGGGCTCGCCTCGTTTCCGACGAGATGACGGCAGAGGATCTGTGGGCATTAGGGTAGAGAAACCCTTGAGCGGACCGGAGCGTCGCCCGTCTTTAGACGTCGACTACAATCATCGCATATACGACAAAAACGGATGGAACGCAAACGCGTTCGGTGGAGCGAACATTCGTCCAGGACAGTCTGCTCAGCCGCACGTCGGCCTGAATTTCGAGCGTAACTTCAGAAACGGGTTCATTGGTGGGTCTGGCCAGGCTCAACGGCTTCCTGGTGGCAGAATATCGCCTGGTTTCGGTGTGCACGGTGGGTTCAGATTCAGGCGCGACGTGAATGACGTCGAGTCGGAGGAAATGGGATATTAAGATCATGGCGAGGTGCGCGATTGACGAACTGGACTGCGGGCTTTCATCGAAATCTTCGTTACTC